ATTTTGTAAAATAGGCATAATCTGATGTTCACTCTTCGTTGGTAGAGAGGTATCCATTTAAGCTTGCTTATCATGCTTGTGACACTCGATTCGTTACTGTAGTCATTGAAAATATAGCGAGCTGCTCTTCTTTGTACCCGCTCTATTTTGTCAATATTTTCTTGTGTATAGGGATCCCATATGGCTGCGCTATATTCCACTCTTGGTCTTATAAGTGCATTGACAGCATTGGTTTTTGTTTGTTGTGGAGCTTTTTTGATGTTTCTGCTGAGCATCCCTTGTGCTTGGTTTGCACTGGCTACAATGTTGTTTATGTGTAGGTTCCAGCTAAGGTCGTCTTTGATGGTAATTCCCAAGTATTTCGTGTCTGTGACTGCTTCTAGTTGTTTCCCATGCATGTAATAGGGTTTTTTTTATGGGGGTTTTAGATCTTGTTAGGTGCATCACGTTGCATTTGCTGACATTAAATTCCATTTTCCATTTCTGTTCCCATTTCGTCAGTGTAGTCAGATCTTTTTGAAGGATGGCTTGATCTTTGGTAGTTCTAATTGGCCGGTAGATGGTGCAATCATCAGCAAACAGACGGATTGTTGACTGTATATCATCAGTGATGTCATTGATGAAGATAAGGAAAAGGACAGGTCCAAGTACACTGCCTTGGGGTACTCCAGATGTTACTCCCACTTTGTCTGAATACTTATTTTCCAGTACAACTGCCTGTGTTCTGTTGTCTAAAAATGCTGTGATCTATTTGTGATTTTTCCCTCTTATCCCATAGTGTCTGAGCTTGTGTAGCAGGCGTGGATGGCTGACTTTATCAAATGCCTTTGCAAAGTCCAGGACTATCATGTCTGTTTGTGTCTTTAAGTCCATCGTATATGTTAGATCATGTATCAGGCCTATGAGTTGTGTCTCGCACGATCTCTTACTTCTAAAGACGTGTTGGAATTCGGATAGTATTTTATTAGTTTCTAGATGTTTCATGACGTTGGATACTACGATGTGCTCCATTAGCTTGCAAAGGATACAGGTTAATGAGACGGGCCTGTAGTTTGCTGGTTCATGGCGTGGCCCTTTCTTGTAGATTGGACAAACAAATGCGTGTTTCCAGTCTGTTGGTGTTTTTCCTAGAAACATAGATTTATTGAACAGGAAAGTGACTGTTGCAGCTAATTCATGATGGAGTTCTTTCAGTATTCTTGGGGTGAGATGGTCTGGCCCACTTGCTTTGTTAGGGTTGAGTTCTTTCAGCAGCTTTTCTACTCCATTTATTGTGATGTTGATGTCATTCATGGTGTTGAATTTTTTATTTCCCATATTTGGCATTTCAGTTTTGTTGTCTTCAGTAAATACTGATTGGAACTGGTGGTTTAATGTGTTTGCTTTGTCAACTGTGTCATTAGATGTTTGTCCTTCATGTTTTAATGGTGGAACTCCAGCTGTTTCTTTCCTCATGCATTTTAAAAAAGAGAAAAATTTCTTTGGATTTGGTTTATCATCTGGTGCAACGATGTTTGATACATAGTTCCAGTAGCATGTTCGTGTTTCTTTTTGTACAAGATGTTTCAGGTTTTTATATGCTGTTCTCATTTTCCCGTTATCTGCTGTTTTTTTAATTTTGTTGTATAGTCTGTCCCTTTTCCTCATCATCCTACGCAGTTCTATGGTTATCCAAGGGTATCCATGTTGATGTGTGATTGTTCTCTGTGGTATGTGCTTGTCAGTAAGTTTTTGAATCTCATCTTTAAATTCCTCCCACATTTTGTTTATATCTGTACTATTTTGATGGTTATTGATAAAGTCTAAGCAAGTGACAACCATACAATATATATGCCCACTGGATCTCAGTGTGTTTGAGATACAGGATAATACAAATTTTATATAAGTCTGAAAATTGAGCTCACACCTTTGATACACTACAGCACCAATCGCTTATCCCAATGTCCAGTGCTTCAGACCACTCGACCACATCCGCTATAGTAAAATATAACTTCAATAGTCGTAGTGTTACCTTGTCACGTAAGGCGAATCTAGAGATAAACATAAGACATGTGTTTTAAGCGTGTGTATTTATATGTTACAGGCATTTTCTAATTTTAGGCATTTTGTAAAATGCCTTAAAACTTTAGACATTTTCTAAAATGCCTGCAAGATTCAGGCATTTTACATAATGACTAATTTTTCTAGGCATTTTACAAAATGCCTGGAAAAATTGAAAGGCATTTTATAAAATGCCTGAAATTATTTTATAGAATGAAATGTTAAAAAATCAATTGAAAGCTTTGAACAACAGAGCAGTTTTATTTATGATGATTACTGAATGTTAAAGCTTGCAATTTAAGAGTTTTAATAATCAAAAATAAGTATTAATGAATTATTCCAAATTCACACAAGCACAGAACTCGACAATTATTTGTTATTTCTTAAAATGTTACACAATATTTGTATTAATTTTTTTGCAAATACATTGTTTGGCGTAAAATCTGGTTTTAGCACTTCGACCACATTTGGAGAAACCTGGATCATGACACATTTAGATCTTTCATTACCTTTTCTGATCAAACACTAAACGTTCGACAACATAAGGTTTCGCAATAAGCACATACGTCACACATGAATATCTTCTTTTTCATATGTTCCCAAAAGATTCAAAGTACATTATCATGATTAATTTGACTTGTATCTTTTGGCTTATAGCTTTTAACGGACTGAAGCAGATCTGCCCATGACGGGTGATGCATCTATAACAGGAGACGCTTATCCTTTCAATCCACCGTTATTTGTCTTTTCTTGGTCGATTTTCGAAATTTTAACCACTGTTAACTACTGTCTCATTATTTCATCAGATTGCAAAGACCCAGGAATTTCCTTGCGGCAGTGAAGATGAAGATACTCATATCTTTGCATCACAACCAAACATGGCCGTGTATGGCGAAACCCATGCTATAGAGGGGAATTTGTTTAGATGTAGATGCATAAATTCTCATTCCTTCTGAATGGAATATATTGCCGCATGTTACTAAAGTGCAACACTCTCTGCACGTTAAGAACTCTTTGATCGTTCTGCAGGTGAAATTTTCTGTCTCTATTCAAAATAATTTCATTTCAAGCGGCATTCGAAATTCCTCTCCTATATCCAGGTTAATCCACTGCAGAAATAACCCATATGAATTATATCCAAATTGTTCTCGTCCAAAAAATGCATGAAATATTTGCTACTGAAAGCAAACAAACCAATCAGTCAATTAAAAACAAACTTCTTTTTCTTTGCTTCATATGTTTCACTTCACTGTTTTGAATCTGAATTTTCTAAAAATTCGTTTGTAAATTTTGTTCCATTGAAAGAACAATTTGTCCTTCTGTCATTTTGACAAAGTAATCATAAATTTACTTTCTAAAAATACAGAGTGTGTACATCACTAAAAAGAAGATATCATATGAAATACAAACTTTCCCAGCTGGTTTTTGAAGAATAAATTAATTCTACTGAACCATTAAATATTTTCTTTGCAAGATGCTGTGTTTTTGTCCACTTTTTTGTCATATGCATCTCAATGATATCATTTTTCTACAAATTGCCTGAAACTGAATAGGCAATTTGTTGAATTTTGTTTCAAAATATCAATCATTTTACAAAATGACTAGGTATTTTTAGTCATTTTATATAATGCCTGTCAAGGTTAGGCATTTTATATATTGCCTGAAAAATCAGTCATTTTACAAAATGCCTAAATTTAGAAAATGCCTGTAACATATATATATATTCATTGGTGATCCAATGGATGAATCTGACGTAGAGTTGTCACTTGTTTAGACGTACTTATCAAATAATTATTTCTGTGACTGCATCTTACGATCCTTTACGACAGATAAGTTAGCTAATCTGCAATCAATTCCATCTGCATGCCTAATATATCATGTACTGTGTTACAACTCTAGATTCTACTGACGAGGAAAGGTTACACAAGTCATTGAAAGCTGAATTTTTAGTTCAGTCTAGGTGACCGAGTGGTCAAGAGCGCTGAAAACAGTGCAGGCGGTGTTGTCTCGATATCCCAATAGCATGAGTTCGAATCCCGGTGAGGGAAGAACAAAAATTTCCTTCCGGAAATTTGAAGATTTAACATTGTTGTGCTGATATTTGTAGAGTAATTATGAATATAATATGTGTTTTCAGCCGTGTATCACCTTTAATGGTGATCCAATGGATGAATCTGTCGTAGAGTTGTCACTTGTTTAGACGTACTTATATATATATACTAGCTGATCTGAAAGGTAAACCATCTACTTGACACTATACATCATGTACTGTGTTACAACCCTAGATAAAGCCGACGAGGAAAGGCATCATATGGACCACCAATAGCTATATTTTTATAAAGACTAGGTTGTCAAGTGGTCTAGGGCGCTGGACCCGATGCAGGCGGTGTTGCCACGATGTCACAGAAGCAAGGGTTCTAATCCCTCTGAGGAAAGAACAAACATTTGCTAACGCAAATTTGAAGATCTAACATTGTTGGGCTTAATTTGTGTCGAATTATATATTAAAGGTTAACTATTTTTGTTGTATAATAGAATTATTTGTAGTTGCAAATGGTCATCTATATAGGTTGAAATCAGCTGACACTAATCTAATTTTCCTGGACCATTGATGGTGTTTAGTGTTTGTGGTACCTAGATTTCAAGACTTTGACCATGACACTCAGTGATAAAAAACAATTAATAATTTTAAAGTAGGCAAGACATTTAACTGTGCTCAACTCTTGGATTTTAAAAAGGGATGATAAAAATACAGTATTTTGGCAAAGTATAACAAAATTGTATGCGGAAAGTATTACACAATCTTTTGTGTAATATCTCTTTAGGGTCAGAAATATTAGTTGAAATCTTTGATTGTATGTTCCTGCATATGTCTGTTTTTTTACATATAAATGTCACAATAAGAATGATTTATAGTATTGTCATTCATATTTAATATGTTTAATTGTTTCAGTTGAAGATGGATTGAAAGAGCTCAATCAGAATGTAAAGTATTTTGTATTTGTTTTGAGCACCCATGGAGAGGAAATCCCAGAAAATGGAATGCACTATCAACACTACTTTTTCACAAGAGATGGCCAGTTTAGAACTCAAGACTTAATGGATAAGGTGAAAGATATAGATGGACTAAAAGGGAGAATGAAATTGTTTTTCTTACAGGTTGGTTTCATGATTTGTGTATTTTCAATCTATCAAAACTTAAACAAAAGTACAATATATAAATATATTTCAATATAATCACATTTTAATCTTTAAACTTGTCAATGACAGATATTCAAAGAAGTGTAAATCTACGTAAACTATAAAGACATTGTCTAGTGTACTTAATTTCATGATCAACAATTTAAAAGATACTGAAAGTGACATAAATTTGCTTTCAAAAAATAGAATAGATATAGGTTATCTCAACTTTATGGGTATCGCTATATATACAGGGTATACATCCTTCAATTTCTATTACAGTAAAGGGTGCACCAAATTATTCAAAAACATTTTTAGTTGTTTCATTAATATTTGGATTACCAGCACCAGTGTCATTATCAACCGTTGTATGCCTCTGCCTTGGTGGTGGGGCATTAAGTGTTACCCTTGTCCGTCCATGCATCCCAAAATTAGTTTCCGTTCTCTAACTTTACTTTGCCTCAATGTTATGAAAATTATACACAATGTTTATTACCATATGCATTAATCACATATCAAGTTCGAATTTGGGTGGTGTCACTTATACAGTTCTCTAATTATAACCCTTTATAACGTTATATGCAAGCGGGGACACCATCTGTGTCCCATTGACACATTCTCTATTTATTCTTAAATGTTCTTGAAACGTTTGGAGTGTTATATTATTTATCACACAAGTTTGCTTATTCTTGAAATTACTGTTAATCATTTTTTCTTGCTGGTTTTTATATTGTCTTTAAAGCATATTTTCCATGCTTTTGTTAGTTATTTCTGTTTATTTAAATAAAAGTTGATAAGATTTTCATTCATATGACATCTATTAAAGTAGGGTAGTGCTGGAGCAAGGTTTGTCAGTTTAGAATTTAAACCAGTTTATTCTAGTAGAAAAGCCACAGTTTTCACATTGTTTTTCGAATTGTAAGTTCACATTTAGTGCAAATGAGTTTGACAATGTTTTTTATGCCCCCGCTGCAGCGGAGGGGGCATTAAGTTTTTAACCTTGTCCGTCCGTACGTCCAAAAATAAGTTTCCGTTCTCTAACTTTAGTTTGCCTCAGCCAAATGTTATGAAACTTATACACAATGCTTATTATCACCAAACACAGATCGAGTTCCAATTAAGGTGGCGTCACTTTCACCGTTCTCCAGTAATGTCCCTTGTTAAAGGAAAAAATTGCTAAACTTTAGTTTGCCTCAACCAAATGTTATGAAATAAAAACACAATGCTCATGATGCTTATTAACACCAAACACAGATCAAGTTTGAATATTGGTGGCGTCATTTTTACCGTTCTTGAGTTATGTCCCCTTTATAAATGGACAAATTGCAATTTTCCGTTTCCGCAATCTAACTTTACTTTGCCTGTACCAAATGTTCTGAAACTCATACACAATACTTACTACCACCAAATACAGGTCCAAATGTGATTTAGGTGGCTTCACTTTTACCGTTTTCCAGTTATGTCCTTTTATAAATTGGAAAATTGCTAAATTTGCTGTTTCTGCACTCTAACTTTAGTTTGCCTCAAGCTTATAACTACCAACCACAGATCAAGTTCGAATTTTGGTAGCATAGCTTACATCATTCTTGAGTTATGTCCGTTTGTGAAATGAAAATTGCTGCATTACAAGCGGGGCATCTGTATCCCATGGACACATTCTTCTTTTATTTTGATATATTTATATACTGAGTTCAGTATATACATATATTTTTTTAATCTTGTCTCGCACCTGTGTATTTATAAGGTCACCTGGCCCTATTGTAGTCTTTTTTTTAACTTTTACAAAAATCTTCTCCTCTGAAACTACCTGATCAAATAGAACCAAACTTGGCCAAACCTTACATATATATATGATAGGTTATAGTTTTTCAAAATGTGCCCTTTGATCCACCCAGACAAGCATCATTGCTGCCAAGGCTAAAAATGGAACATAGGGGTGTAATGCAAGTATCTTTTAAATCTTGTTAAACATTAAAGTTATAGAAAATTTGACGTGGAAAAAAAACCTCAGAATATTAATATTCATCAACCAACCATTTTGATCAAAACGGTCAGAAGATTCCGTAATTACAGGAGATATTGCCTTTAAAAGACGATTTGTTTATCTATTTTTTTTTGCAGAAACTATAGTAGATAGATAAAAAATAAACTACACAGCAAAAGTGATCATCCAGACAAGATATACAAATAGGTCGACATACTATGGGTTCAGTTATTTTTCGTGGGACCATTTTTAGTGGATTAAGGAAAAAATGTAAATTTGTGGTTTTCACAAAGTCTGCATACCAGCCTATAGAAAATGTGTACTTCGTTGAACATTTAAATTTTTGGTGCAATTTTCCCCCTACAAGTCCACAAAAAAAGTTTGGTATACAACGACTGTTAAGAAATCCAAAATCTACCCACCCCTTATAAGAAGTAATGTCCATGAAAGGCTCTTTTTACATGTGTTTGTGGGTTTTCTTTGTGTGGAAACTATAGATGGAGATAAACTGTTATAAAAAATATGACTAGCAGATAAAGATCAACTATTTAGTGAACATAGTATAGATTGCCCGTTGGCATCTGATAGAAGTATTTGCCCTTGAAAGATTATTGTTTACCCATTTGTGTAAAAACTATAGCAGATACAGAGAAAACAGGCTTGAAATTATCAGTCGACTCCTTACGGGAGTTATTGCCCTTGAAGTAATTTTTTTTGCGTTTTTGCTAGAAACTTTTTGAAATATTCTTTCTGCATTTTGAGGAGTGATATTTTCAGTTTCCTTGGAGCCTCTAGTTCCGGAATTAAATAAAATACTAGTAATAACAAATCGTCCATTATTGATTTGTATAGTTTGGAAGATTAACACATATGTAAAAATGTATTGCCAGAAGGCAATTGACGGTTTTAAATCTTCTGTTATTCTGTCAATTAATAAATCATCAGATTTATAGTCAATATAAAGATAAAAAGATGTGATATGGTTGTCAATGAGACAACTCTCCAACAGAGACCAATTGAAATAGAACATAAGAACAAACTATAAAATTTAGTTGAAAAGGGCTTATCTCGTCTGATTGATACAAAGCACATAAAAACCCTAACAAAAACACAAAAGATACAAAGTAAAGATCTGAAAGTACTCGTAGTTACTGAAAGTTGTTCAAAGCCAATAACAGCTTATAAAAAAATCAATTGTCTAAGACTACATTATCAATCAATACACATACAACATCCAATGGATTTATTGTAAAGACGTAATCATTAATAAACTCATTTTCATTTGTTAAATGTCTAAATAAATCAACAATGAAATCTGTTCGTTTTCTGACACGCCAGTTAAATATTTAATTACATTTAATTATTAGGGGTGGAAAGAGCTCGCGTTGTTCTTGAATGATTTCAAACATCATAATCATATTTGCCATAATATACATTTCTATCTGGTGCAAGGTAAATCGCACAAACTTATTAACGCTTATCATTTAACATAATATATTTATCAATTTTCATAAAATCATACTATTACCACAATATTTCACAATAATATAAAAAAAAATGGTTTTAATACTTTACTTTTGCACTTTTTGTCCCCCGCGGGACTTATATTTTATCCGAAACTTGTATTGTTGTAGCAGGTTAGCATTTTTTTACATCAGATGTGCAGCCACTTCCTTCTTGTCGATAGTTGGAAATTTTACAACACTAATTGTACAAGGAATTTTTTCTTGGCTTTTATGGGAGGGAATACTTTCATATTTGGTCTGAAGCTTGATCATATTTAGTTGTAGTGTGTATGCAATGTGTACATCTGCCATGCAGCCAATTCCTATTTGCCGATAGTTTGAAATTTTGCAACACTCACTGTACAATTTTTTTGTCAAATTTAACTTTGCTTCTAAGAACAGGAACAATTTTATATGTGGTCTGCAGCTTGAAAATGTTGACTTGTGGCATGTTAGCAATTTTCACAACTGCCGTGCAACAACTACTTCCAGTTTGCCGATAGTTTTTAATTTTACAGTACTCATTGTACAAGGAATATTTTGTCAAACTTGTCTTGTCTTCTTTGGAAGGGATTGATCAGTTATGCTTCAGTATACATGTTACCTCAATTAATTGCATGAGGCAACACAGGTTCATGAACTGGTATTGGTCTTGTTAATGGTATTGCGGGTAATTTCAAATTTTAAAATGTTATGAGACCCTTTGCACCATTTTGTGATCAACAATTTTTGTGAACTTTACTACAACTGACCTTGGATTTTTTGCTCTGTTCATGCTTTTCCCTAGACATAATGCTCTGTTCCGTGGGGTATAATGATTTTAACACGTCCGTCCGTCTGTCCGTCAGTCCGTCCGTCCGTCAGTCCGTCCGTCCGTCAGTCCGTCCGTCTGTCAGTCCGTCAGTCCTGTTCTTGTCATCGCAACTCTTCTGAAACCACACAACATGATTTCATGAAACTTTATAAATGATAAGGACATACTATGTAGATGTGCATATCGACAGGAATTTGTGATTCAATTTTTTTTCTAGGAGTTATGCCGCTTTGAACTTAGAATTTTTGCCTTAATAGACTACTGCAAAAGTTTGTCATCTCAACTCCTCTGAAACCACACAACAGAATTTTATGAAACTTGATAGATAGTTAGTACATACTATGAAGATGTGCATATCGACAGGAAATTATTATTCATTTTTTTTTCTAGGAATGATGCACCTTTGAACTTACAAAATTGGCCTAAATTTACTACTGCAACAGTTTGTCATCACAACTCCTCTAAAATCATGCAACAGAATTTCATGAAACTTTGTACATAATAAGTACATAATATGTAGATGCACATATCCACAAGAAATGTTTATCAGTTGACCTTTGTAGGAGTTATGAGTCTTTTAACTTGGGAATCTGGTGAGATATGTTTGGCAAGTGACAATGTGGGGGCGTGGGGTATGTGAGTGCACTCACAAAGGTTCTTTAATTGCCCCTGAAAT